ATTTAAAACCAATGGCTAAGTCTACTGCACGCTTTATTTTTGGCAGTTTACACAATAATCTGGATTTCCAGCATCTTGTAGATCAATCTGTTCCCAGGATCAAGTTTATAAAAAAAAGCCTGCAGGAAATTAACATTTATTGAAGATCTACTATATGGGTCAGGTCCTGGGAAACTTGAATCTTTTAGGTATGAGGTATAATTTACTCACCATAGATGTCATCCGTTTTAAATCAATAGTTCAGTGAGTTTTAGTAAATGTATGCATTTGTGCAACCCTCACCACAATCTGGTTTACGAATTCTCTTACTTTGAGAAGTTCCCTCATAACCTCTGCAATCCATCTCCCAACCTCCAACCTGCTTTGTCTCCATAGTTTTGCCTTTTCTAGAAATTTCATGTAAATGGAATCATGTAATACGTGATCTTTCGTGTCTAGCTCCTGTCTAGTTAACATGATGGTCTTGAGATTTATCCATGTTGTTCCATGTATCCATAGACTCACTTCTTTTTATTGATAGGTAGTATCCCATAGTATGGATATAGCACGTTTTGTTTATCCATCCACTTTATGTGAGAGTAAACTTGCTGGATCAGATGGTAAGTGTATGCTTAACTTTTAAAGAAATTGCCAAAGTGCTCCCCAGTGAATATGCCATTTTACATTCCAACCAGTGCTGTATGAGATTTCCAGTTTTTCCACATCCCTGCCAACACTTTGGCACTATCAGTCTTCTTAATTTTAGCCGTTCTCGCGGGTGGGTAGTGCTATCTTACTGTTGTTTTATTTTGCATTTCCCTAATGATGAATCTTACTGAGCCTCTTTTCATGTGATCATTTGCCATTTGTGTATCCTCACAGGTAAAGTGTCTATTCACATTTTTTTCTCATTCGTAATTGAATTATCTTCTTACTGTAGAGTTGTAAAAGTTCTTTGCAAATATATGCTTCCAATCTGTTGCTTGCCTTTTTGTTTTCTTAATAGTGTCTCCAAAGAGCAAAAATTTGATGACATCTAATTTACTCATTTTTCTTCTTTTATTATTTATTTATTTTTTTAAAGATTTTATTTATTTATTTGAGAGAGAGAGAATGAGAGACAGAGAGCATGAGAGGAAGGAGGGTCAGAGGGAGAAGCAGACTCCCTGCCGAGCAGGGAGCCCAATGTGGGACTCGATCCCGGGACCCCAGGATCATGACCCGAGCCGAAGGCAGTTGCTTAACCAACTGAGCCACCCAGGCGCCCCTTATTTTTCTTCTTTTAATGTCCATAGCTTTTGTATCCTATTTAAGAAAATTTCTCCTAACCCAAGGGAGTTTTTCTACTGTTTTTCCAGAAGTTTTATGGTTTCAGTTCGTAGACTGAGAGGTTAATGATCCATTTTGATTTAATTTTTGTGTTGGGAGTGAATTAAGGGTCAACGATCATTATTTTGTATGTGGATATCCAATTGTTCAAGCACTATTTGTGGAAGAACTATCCTTATTACTTTGGTACCTTTGGGTGGAAAAAAAAAAATCAACTGACCACCTAGATGAGGGCTGATTTCTGGAGTTTTTCTTCTGCATCACCGATCCATGCATCTATCCTTCTGCCAATACCACATGCTCTGGAGTACAGTGGCTTTAAGGGAAGTTTTGAAATCAGAAAGGGTGAAGTCCTCCAATTTTGTTCTTTTTCCATACTGTTTAGGCTATTCTAGGTCCTCTGCATTTACATGTTAGGATCAGTTTGTCAACTTTAAAAAAAAAAAAAGATTTTGATAGAGATTCCGTTGGATCTGTAGATCGATTTGGGGAGAATTGCCAATAGTGGGTCCTCTCATCCAGGAATACAGTATATATTCCATTAACTTAGTTCTTTTATTTCTCTCAACAACATTTTGTAATTTTCAGTTTACAGCTTTCACAGTTCCCATGTTAAATTTATCCTTATTTTATTCTTTTTGATGTTATCGTAAATGAAATTAATCAAATTTCATTTTCAGATTTCCATTTCTAGTATGTAGACATGGAATTGATTTTTTGCATATTGACCTTATATCCTGCAACTTTGCTATACTCACTAATATCCTTGCAGCTTTTTTTTTAAATATATAGATTACTTAGGATTTTCTACGTGCAAAGGTCACCTTGTCTGTGAATGCAAGTGGTCTCATTCCTTCCAATTCTTACGCCTTTAATTTCTTGTTCTTGCTTTATGGTTCTTGACATTTTTTTAAAAAGGTTTTATTTATCTGAGAGGCAAAGAGCAGGGCTGGGGGGAGCGGCAGAGGGAGAGGGTGAAGCAGGCTCCCCACTGAGCAGGGAGCATGACACGGGGTTCAATCCCAAGACCCCGAGATCATGACCTGAACTGAAAGCAGAGACTTAAGTGACTGAGCCACCCAGGTGCCCAGGTCCTTGACTTTTATTTGGATTATTAGCAAACTTCACGTTAGCTCATTGTACATTGACACTCTTATACCGCTTTCATAAATGCTGAAATCGCCCCAATGAATGACGGTTTTTAACCAGTGTATATCACTGCCTACCAGTCAAAACTTCCGTTTCAGCAGCACTGCTATCCTTGTTTATAAAATAGTGTTTGGGGGCGCCTTGGGTGGCTCAGTCGGTTAAGCGTCTGCCTTCGGCTCAGGTCATGATCCCAGGGTCCTGGGATCGAGCCCCACGATGGCTCCCTGCTCAGCGGGAAGGCTGCTTCTCCCTCTGCCCCTCAGCCCCGCTCGTGTTTGCTCTCTCTCATAAATAAATAAATAAAATCTTTTGAAAAATAAGTGTTTGGATAGTTATTTTAAAAATTCGAAATACATTTTGTACTCATCATTTAGAAACGAAGAAATAGAAAGTGCTGCCGTCAGTAACAAGCACACGTCTCATAAACTTAACAACACTTGAAACGACAGGAAAATCGCTACGCAGGCTGGAAGTGGCAATTCCTTAGCCTCAATTAGGTGCTCACTGGACTTATTAAGCTGGTCAACCACGAGAAAGAGTAAAATTAAAGAACATAACATGGCATAGTGAAAATAGAACATCAAAGACCGTATCTAAGATGCAAGGTATAATTAGTGATTTTTAAATATATTTTAGTTCCTTGGGAACCCAACTACCTTTCTGATGGGTACCACAGCTCAATTTGTAAGTAGACTGAGGAACACACTGGGTCACATCAAAGTGTGGGATATACCAGGACTTTGTTTGGTCTCACACAACTTCTGAGAAAGATAAAACGATTCCCATTTAGAAACCAGAAAATAGATACAGAAATTTAAGTAACTTGCTAAAGTTGTATAGTAAGCAGTGGAGAGAAGATTTAAACTCAGGTGCTTGGTTCCAGAAGCTCTAAACTGGGGCCCTCTTTTCCGGAGCAACCCATTGGCCTGACAGGTATCCTGAAGCCCCAACCTTCCATGCCTGCTCGGGAAGCCCCCGGTTCCACACGTGTATGGTTCTAACCTTCTCACCAGTGACCCACAGCAACTGTGTAACAACGGGAGAATTTATCTTCCTCGTTTGCTCTCTCCCAAAATACCATCCCAAAGCCTTGAACACTATAATAAAAAGATGTGAGATGGGTGCATAAATAAGATCCATGTGCACAACTGTAGAAAGCTTGGTTTGAAATGTATGAGTGATTATCCTTTGAGTTTGAGGGCAGAGATGCCCAGGAAGTTTGACTAAGAAAGGCTATGAAAGTTTTTCAGTGAGGTGAACTCAGGCTTTTCTTCTCTGCTTTCATTTTTGGGCAGACACATTAGAAAATGAATGCATTCCCAAGCAGAAAAGTGACCACAAAACCCTTTCACTGTGGATGGGTGATGGAGCTCAGCCTTCTCTCTCTCTCTCTCTCTTCCCACCCCGAAGAGAAGTTCTAACCCTTTGGCGCAGATGATTTGGACTAAAGTCTTGATAACTTGGGGTTTGGCAAGGCCAGAAAAGAGGAGGACACAGAGCAAAGAAAAAGGAAACGATCTCATTGTGCCTTAAGTAAACACTCCCTCAATATTTTGGGGTTAATTAGAAAACATTTCAATGGGCTTCTTTTTCAAGAAACAAATACAAATTGTAGTTCCTCTGCACTCTGGGCAATCCACAAAACCAGAAGCAAGCACCTCAATTCCCCCATGTGCCACATAAGCCCTCTGAAGCTGCCCTGTAGGATTCTGCCTTCTGATCAGCAGACCTTTGGAAGAGAAGTTTTTTCCACAAACCCTTGATTTTAGGTCTGGTACTGATCTATTCTTTATCAATCCTCCTCCCTAAACAAAACACGTCTTTTACAGCCCTTATAGTGTTTAGACACAAATAGCAAGGCTTTGGAAAATCTCTGTAGTTAGCAAGAATACTGGAAACGACCTACATGGTTGAGGGACAAGGTGGCTGGCCATCAGGACAGGGACCAGCCACTTCGGGCCCTCAGCCTGCCGCCTACTTCCGTAAATAAAGGGTCGCGGAGACACAGCCATGCCTGTTCATTTGTCTTGTCTGTAAGCTGCTTTCTTGCTACAAGGGGCAGAGTTGAGTGGTTACCGTGAGGCCCTCTGGCCTGCAAAGCCTAAAACACTGACTCTCTGGTTCTTTACAGAAAAAGTTGGTCAATTTCTGTGACGATACATTTAAAATAACATTTTAAAAAGTATTATTTTAACAGGAAAAATATTCCTGTTAGGTTGTTAAGTAAAAAAAAAAATTTTTTTTAAAGGGTGACACGCTAGTTCACGTGTGGTATCACCAGACTTACGTAAAACAAGGGAAAATGGGCAGGGAAGAGAGAACAAACGCTAAGCAGGTGGACCTGGGTGGCAGCATGAGGGGGGATTTTCCTTATCCCCATCTCTGTGTTCCAGTTTTTCTAAAATGACCTCCTTCCTTTCATCGGAAGCGCCCTTGCAACATTCAGCCCGCGGGCCTGCCTCGCCCACCCTGAGCTCTGGCTCCCCGCCAGGCCCGTCCCCACAGGGCTGCCGAGGGTCGGGGGCAGGAAGACGGGCAGGTACCTTATGCTCGTCCCGAAGGTGGCTGTCCAGTTCCTCCGTGTGCTTGGCTTCGTAATAGCAGAGCTGGCATTTGTAAGGTTTTAGTTCATTGTGCTTTTCTATGTGCTGCTGGAGGCTCTCGTCACTGGAGCAGGTGAAGGTACACTTATCGCAGCGGAAAACTACTCCCTGCAAGTATTTGGACAGTTTGGAACGGCACACTTCGATGGGGACAACTCGCTCTTCTGTGGAAACAAATTGAATTGGAAAGATGGAAATTTTTACTGATGGTCCGCACGCGTTCTCTTTGGAATACAGGAAGAAACTCAGCCGGTTTTGCTACCTCTCACGGGCCCGTGTCCGGGAACTCACATGCACGCCGCCCCGCCCTCCGTTCCCCAAACGGCATCTTCCTCTGGCCCAGGTAAGTGTTCGTAAGACCACCAGCCCTTGGTGCACTTAATCCCCAGGGTGATCTTTACAGCGAGGTGGGCAGGCTGAAAGGTGCTTGCTCATTCCTGAATGGAGGCGGCCACGGTTTATCCACAGTAATGATAACTATTAGCACCTCCCACTTCCTCACTAGGTGCTAGCTGGGCTGGACCTAGAAGACATCCCTAAGTAGAAAGGGACCGGACAGTTCCCAAGCACCTGTGTGCCCCGACAATGCACCTTCCTGGCAACCCTCTTAGGCTGGAGGTATTCCTGTTTTCACAGATCAGTAAAGCAAGGAACGGGGCTCTTAATAACTTTCCAAAGCTCACAGACGTTGTAATTGGCCCTGCTGCGATCTGCATCCCTGCCTGTCACAAAGCAAACCCTTCATGTCCCACTGTTGCCAGTTCCACTCCTGTTTCCCCTTCCGAGATGTTCTCAAGGAGACGGTTTTCCTTTTCCTGAAACCAAGGGAATCTCTAATAACAAATCTGAAAGCAAAGGACCTGTATGTTTTCATTCCCTGAAATTCCAGCTCTAGTAGGAGAAGCTCACAAATGAAATGGCTGCGGGCAACATTCGGGGGGTGGAGGGAGAGATGGGGGTAGAGGGAGAGATGGGGGTGGCGTGGGAGATAGGGAGGATTTGTGCCTTTTCAGACAATCTGTAATCTGATTGTCACAAGGGAAAAAAATAAGAGAGAGGATTTGGGTGCTTTTCCCATTAACATACCAAATGCTGTAGGGCTGGAAATGCGTGTGCTTGTTTATTTTGCACTCTCTCACCCTTGTGTTTAACTGCTCAAATTAAATTTCACACCAGTCTGCCCAGAGTATCGGCGCATGCGCCAGATATCCATAACTGGGATAAAATTAAAATCTGTGCTATTTATGCAAGGATCAAATATAGCGTGTGTTTTCATGCTGTGTCTGGATTTCGGAAGACTCTGGAAGTTTACAAATGGACGCACACAACATATACTTATATTATTTAGAAACAGCAATGTATTATTAAGTCAAGAAAGCGTGATTTAGTCTCGGAGTCACTGAGTAGCACCGTTTCCAGACATCAGTGTTTTGTGCACTGATGCGGTGCTCCCTGCGAGCCCTCCCTTTGCTGTTGGCCAGGGTTGGCCCCTGGAGAATTCTCCCCACCCAAAGCCATGCTGTAGCCTCAGCCACCCCGTTCTCACCGCAGGGCAGTCCCTGCCGAGGGAGTCCTTGAATACGGCGATTAACTGGCCCGCAAGAAGCTGGCCCGAGGGAGCGTGGAAGGTGATGTCTGCTACGTACTCCCCGGAGCTCTAATGCATATGTTATTTTCCCTATACAAAGAGTCAGTCGCTTATTTAGAAATATAAATATTTTTAAACCAAAGTAGAGCAGACAGCTAAGAAACACATGATTATAATGTAATCCACACATTTTCTTAGAATAGCAAATGTTTAACAGTCTTCTAACCATTCAGTTCTATGGTTTGGTGTAATCGGAGGAAAAAAATGCTTTGGCAGAAGCCAGCCGGAGCCTTAAGAAAGCCCATGCTACGCCGTTCAACTCCTCCAGCCCGGGGTTTCTCAACAGTAGCTCTATTTACATTCTGAGGCCAGATAAGGCTTGACTCTGGGGGCTGTACTCTGCACTGTAGGATGTTTATGAAGATCCCTGGCCTCTATCGACCATCTGCCATGGCACCCCGCTTCCCCAGGGGTGACAACCAAAAATGCCTCCAGACAAATGCACCCTGACTCTGGCCGATAACCACTGCTCCACACCAAGTGCCCAGCATTACCCCCACAGCCGTTCTGGGTAAGACACGCGTGCAAGCCGGCGCCCACGGCACAAGACAGGGGAGCAGGCTGAACCCCTGGGACCAGCCCCATGCCTGAGGAGCTCACGGGCTGGGCTGACACGAACTTTTCTGGCACCTTCCCTGAGACTGCACCCCTCCTTTGCTCTGTGTTGGCTCCTGCTTTGGATTGTGTCATTTCTGCCTCGTGCACGCTCTGTCTCTGGCCCGTGCTGTGCGCTCTGGGTCTGCTGACCTCCGTGGAGATGGACCACAGCTGGATAACAGTCCCTGGGACGATGCCTCCAACACCTTGGAGACAGCCATGCAAGCAGCCTCCTGTCTTCACTTCTCCCCGTAAAGAATCACTTCTTTCAGACTGGGGTTTTTTTTTTTTTATAGGCCTCCCTTTCAATTCCTCTATCACCTTGGTTAGTTTTCTTTGCAGTTTCCCATTTCACTATGTGTGTCTAAGTGAATTTTACACAAAGTCAGGAGCACTCAAAATACTCTGGAGTTTAAATAATAATAATTCATGGAAATGACCATGGCGATTTGCCTGGAGCTCACTGTTTCAAGCCCTGTTAGGCATTCTACCCTCACGGTTAACTTTTTATTCTCGAAACACTCTGCAAAGTCGGTTTTATTACCTGTAGTTTACTGGTGTGGAAGCTGAGGACTGGCCTGTTGGACTCGTCCTCAAAGTCACGCCTCTGGTTCAGAACAAAGTTGTGACCTGGGAGCACAGGTCCCCCGCCTGACCTGTGCCAGGGCCCTCCTCCTTCACCCCCGAAAAGAACTCTCTTGGAACATCCGATCTGCACGCTGTTTATTTATGCGCCTTTGATTCCTAATCGTTTAAGAGTACCAAAGAGTACCAAAGCTACGGGAGTGTCTAAGGCAACCATTTCTCTCTGACTTCTTTCGAGTATCTTCTCAATCAGATAAGAGGTAATTTCCTGCTTACTTACTCACTCTGGAACATCAGACTTCTTCCCATTTCCAAACGAAGACATCACCAACATTCCCAGTCTCTGGGCTATGTGGATTTTGACTAAGATCTTCATTTTAGGGAAAAAAAGTTAATTTTTCTCCTTTCTAAACACATGGCTAACACAACCAAGATAAAAAAAAAAACAAGAGAGACTTGGAAAGGTGGGCAAATCACTGACAGGGTTTTCTGAATGAGGTTATTCATTATTGAGGCAAGTCAAGGACATAAAGTTAGAGACTGGAATGTTTCCAGGTATGGACGGAGCCCTGTCTTGGCTACAGAAGCCCAGGGCTCAGGACTTTTTTTCTCTATGGAGGCAGCGACAACTGTGGGTCTTTCTTGACTTCACACCTCTCAAAATTACCTTGGGTAAGAAATCAAGGCTTGAATCACACTCATTGTGACTCAGCTTCCAGAGCTGGCTGCAAAAATATTATGACTTCACCAGTTTGACTACAAGATAGATTGTGTCTCTCATCTCTTCCTACTCAAAAGCCGCTTGGTGCTGCAGCTGGACGTGAAACCCAGGGGGAAAGCCCCGCGGAAGCCTGTGGGAACTGAGGTGCTAGAGAGCCTACAAGGGCGTGCTGTCGAACTCCCGAGATGCTCAGTGGAAAAATCTGCCAAACTGCAACTACCAGGAGGGCGGAGGGTCACTTCTGCTCAAAACAGAGAAAAACCACATCACTGTGGAGTCCAGAGTCACCAAGTAAAAATTCTTCCTGAAAGGCAGACCACAACACACTTGGGTTTCCTCCCCGCAACGTGCCAAGTCTGAACGAAGCAGGGAGAGGTCTGGAAGTCATTCACGCCAACAAACTCCGTATGCAAATGATCCTGCTCCAGGCCTGAGACCCTCTTTGGGCCAAACCAAAGCCCCACCCGTTACTCTCGGCCAAATGGGTGACAAAAGCTGAGAACTAGAAAGCCATTAAGAAGATAACAGTAGTTCCTAAAGAACAACTATTCTAAAACATGACCATAAACAGGCACACATAAACGTAAGGACAACAGCTCCTGGTAAGACGTTATTAATCCTGATGCTAGCCAGGCTGCCACCGTCAAGCCAGAGAAAGCTGAGCACCAAAGAACCACACCTCTCATTTTAACTGGCAGAAGTATTTGGTGGGGATGGAAGGGAATGTGTAATTTCACTGAATAAAATGAAAGACTGGCAATCTCACTGCAGTTTTTTTTTTTTTTCCAATAAGAAAAACGATACCCATCAGGTAAATTAAGGGAGATTAGTTTTGTTCCCAAAAGATGCCCACCAGCAGGATTCAGTTAAATTCAGTGTTTGCCCATGTATTGGGGTTATGGGCTCGGAAGCAGAAGCTTTAAGTTAATATGCCAACTGGAGACCAGAATCGGAGATTACACAGTTCCAGAATTATAAATAGAAATATCTGGCAAAACTGTGTTTCATCCCTGTAATTCAATCTGTACCCAATTTTCCAGGTGCACGACAGGTGTGTAAGGTACATACAGGCAAAGCTGTCTGTGCACGAGGCATCATGCTTCCAATGATGATGATAAACTGACAAACTCAGTGGAAATGTACTCATGAAACTATTCCCTGTTCACGGTCTCCCTTCCTATCAAGTTCAAGTTCCTTCAGTGCACAGATCTTGCCTGACTCTTCATGGCTGTACCCCTAGAGCTTAAAACAATGCTAGCATTATAGTGAATGTTCAATAAATATTTGTTGCATTGAATGAAAACCCACCAAAAGTCCTACCTCCAAACTTCTCCAGCAAACAAAAATCTCAGGGCTTAATTTTTCCCTTTCCAAACTGGTCCAATCATGGCCAATCTCACCAAATGTTGATCTGACCTAAGTTTCTCAAAGAATTGGGTCTACCAATCCTTGGCTTCAATCTTTGCTAAGTTGGTATTCAGCAGGTACCCTGGTTTCCCATCTGCCTACTGAGTAAAGTTCGAACTCCTACACTGGTATCCAAGCCCTACCTAATTTGGCCGGAACACACCTTACCAGCCTTGTCCCCTGTTCCCTTCAGCCCCCCTCAGAACACCTGAATACACTGTCAACACATCTTGCTCCCACCTACCTGACTGATTTAAATTTTTCCTCCCCGCCATGTAGGGGGTCCAATAGTGTCCCCCAGAAATTTATGTGCACCTAGAACCTCAAAATGGAACCTTATTGGGACATAAGGTCTTTGCAGATGTAACTAGTCAGGATGAGGTCACAGTGGTTTGGGGTGGGCCCTAAATTCAATGAGTAGTGTTCTTAGAAGAGGAGAGGACACGGAGAAGACACACACAGGGAAGACGGCCATGTGTGGACAGATGCAGAGACCGGAATGACGCAGCTCCAAGGCCAGGATGTCAGGAACCACCAGAAGCAAGGGAGGGCCACGGAAGGATTCTTGTCTAGAGCCTTCAGAAGGAGCACGGCCCTGCTGTCACCTTGATATCAGACTTCTAGGCCCCAGAGCAGTGACAGTACATTGTTGTTTTAAGCTACCCAGCTAACTAATATACCCCACCTTCAATCATCTTTGCCTGCTGAAATGTCATCCCGGCTCAGTTTGAAAGCCACCCCCCCACCACCTTTCTCTACCCCAAACACAAATACACCTGCCACCGTGAAACCCCTAGATACCCATCACTCGCTACCTTACGTAGACTCACGCACATGCTTCATCTCCTTGAGGAGGGCAGGTCCTGGGTCTTCTATATACTTCATCTTGCCCAAGAACCCAGCAGAGTGCGGCACAAGCAAGTAATGAATGCTTGCTGCAGGCATGGACACACAGTATGCTCTTTTGCCACAACCCACATAAACCCACGACCATTTCTCATTCAGATTTCCCATGAGTGAAATGAATTCTCCTCCCGTTCCTCCCTATTTAAATATATCGTTCTGTTGGGATAAAAAGCGAAGGCAACTATTCTTGCCAGCAGTATCTCAGTCTCAGGGCCAGTTCAGAAGTTCTTCTTCTTCCCTTTCATCCCAAGTATTTTAATTACCCAAGGCCTCAGAAAGCTCTCTTACTGCAGGCCCCAGAGACCAACGATGTTTACTCATCCCCAGAGCAAGGAGAGCCCAGGTGCAGGAAGAGTCACGTCTTGTTACTTTGAGATCAGCCCCGACTCGAAATTGCAAGGCAGACACCCAGCCCTGTCTCCTGACTTGTCAAGACCAGCTTCCCACTGAGATGCCATTTTGGGTTGAGATGGACACCAAAGCCAGGCCAGGACGCAGATGGCAGACACGGCTGTCCTGAGACACCCTGCCATCTGCGGTTCCGTGGCCCTCAGCTCTGACCTCCAGCCCCACAGGTGATTCCGTCCTCAGACGCAGCTGCCCACACCACGAGAACACTCAACACGGTGACATCAGCCACTCTCCCAGGGGAGAGACAGTGATGCCTGGTGGCTACAGGCATGGGCTGTGGGGCAGACAAGCCTGGGTTCAGACCCAGCTGGGTCACTTACTGGTCATTTGGATCTTGGGTCACACTCAGTCTCTCTGAACCTTTTACCCTTGTTCTTGGGGGATAACAGTAATACCCACACCATATAGGGTTTTGTGAGAGTTCCATAAAATGACATGTTGGACTCACTTAGTACAGCACCTGTCCTCGTCAACACTCAGTGACAGTAATTTGTTGTTGTTAATGTTGTCATTATTACTGCCGATCCTCAAACGTCCCTTCGTTCCAGATCGTGCACTTTCCAACCCCGGTAAGGACGATATTTAGATGGCTCGTTTAACATAAATGACCTCTACAAATACACAGCAGAGACTGTAAGTAACCGGTGATGGGCAGTATGATGGATGGGTCACGGGATCAGAGGCCCGGAGTTGACTCACTCACAGCACTGTGAGCACTCGGGCCAGTCTGGTTCCGCTGGCCAGCTCTCATCGTCCCTGTGGGCCTTCGCACTGCATTTGTGGTGGGCATAATACACACCGGATCGTACACGGTCCCCCCTTCGGAGACCCCACTGGAGCAATTCCTCTCAGGTTTCGGTGTCTAGGATTCCTGAAAATCTCCTGAATGCAATTTCAAAAGTCTAACAAACACTTGAAATCCAACGGATTCTGTTTTCTTCTGTCCCGCGGGAGGCCGGGATCTCAGGGCCAGACCCACAGCCCGCGGCTTCCAGGTGCACAGCACCCCACGGCGTTCACTGGACACCAACTTCTTGGTGAACGTCTCTGTACCTCCAGGGCACCTGCAACTGGTTTCTCCTTATTCTGCATTTGCCCCAATTTCCCATTTGTTTTAATCCTACGGTTCTGCACAAATATCTTTAAGATAGCTTAAATCCTTTGTGAGATGACCACAAAATAACTACACCAAATCAAAGAAAAAGCAGTTTTTCTCAGTTTCACGTTTCACGCACGTGAAGCAGGAACACAGGTAGTAATCCTAGCCCTTAGGAGGTTGTTGGATAGGAGTGACTTCGTGTCAAGTGTAGCACTCCAAGGGCCTTTCTCAGCTTTAGCTTTACTCTTTCTCGGTGTCCCCATCCCTTTCCTGAAGCCTCAGCTCAGGGAAGGAAAATCATTGAGCGCATTAGACACTGAAGCTCTGAGCCCACCAGGCAGCAGCATGGGAAGCCGGAGGGCATCGACCACAGAAGTGAGGTCTCTCATCGTTTCTGTCTGCTCAGCGGCAACACCACTCATGGCCCCTCCCCACCCTGTGAGGGGGGCACAGAGCCACCACCACACATGGGCTGGGGGACCAGAAGCCAGGTGACTGAGGTGAAACACTGGGTGGCACCACTCTGGCCAAGAATTCCTGCCTCCACGTTCCGATGCTGCTTCTCTCAGCTCGCAGGCGGATGTCCCAGCCAGCAGCGACCTCACGTCTCCTCAGAGCGGCCTGGGGAGGAAGGAAATCTGAGGGTGCTAAGCGGGGCCTTCCACGGGGTGTGCAGCAGAGATGGGCAAATGGTCACAAAATGCAATGGCCCGAGACTGTGGCACTGGGGACATGCTGGAAACTTTTGAAAATGCTCCAAAAATATCCAGCATGTCAGGGTGAGTGACCTCTCTCAGCAGGACAGCAGAAGACACACTCACTGTTTCTGAGGCCCACGTGGCGAAGACGGAAAAGCGTCCTAGGGTTAGAGGCCGAGGGAGGAAGACAGGAACGAAGAGGGGGACGAGGAGGGAGGGAAGGCACGGAGGAAAGATGAAAGATCAGTGGATGGAAACAGCACGAGAGACTGGCAACCAGGATTCTGGTCATCCTTTTTCCATCTACCTCTGGCTCGAATCTTCTTTGGACAAAGTTTTTACATAAACATATTTTTCCTTCCAATGCAGAGGAAGCCTGTTGTTTAACAGTGTTTTAATTGGCCAAGAGTAAACTCAACTGAAAGAAAAACCAAAGAGGACTTGAAAGAACCATCCCTGTTTATCAACAGGAAGCCACATGTACACGACACCCAGTGTGCATCCACCAGGGAACGCACCAGACCAGCTACTTGGCGCATTGTTTCATAGGCTCACGTCCTCTCTTCTTACAGATGGGAGAGCAGGTCAATACAGGAGGCTTTAAAACCAGAACTTAAATCTGAAACCTCTGGGATGTCTAATACCTATTGGACCACTTTTATTTTTAAGAATTTTTCTCTCTCCAACCATTTCATGGGAAACTCCACGCTCTGCTTTGGAAATCATCATTTTGGTCTCCCTCCAACGAATTGCTTGCAATCAGATAGCTCCTGACATTTTATGATGAGTCCTCACCCGCCCGTTCTGTGTCTCATTCGCTCCTTCCTTAGCAAGGCGGTGAGGGCAGAGGAATCAGAATGTGAAAATCCCTCACGCTGGGAAGCCCCAGAGAAGTGTCCACTGCTAAACCCATCACCTTTGCCTCCCTCCACGTGGAGCAGATCTTGTGGCAGGAAGGGGTTTTTATCGTGGGCTGTCATCACTGTGGTCATTCACTGTGATTTCCTGCCTGGACAGAAGCTGAGGAACCAGGGACCAGGGCAAAGTGGCCACTTCGAGAGGGGAGTCCTTGAAATGCCACCCGCAGCCCTCTGCCCCAAGAAAACCACATTTAGGAAGGTTACCTCGGTGCAGCACGATGTGGTCAATCATGTTGCGTTTGTATTTGGTGTGATAGAGGCAGAGAGGACAGCGAAGATCTTTGGGGCCCTCCTCGGGAACCGCCGAATGCCCGGCTTCCACGTGCATAGTAAAAGCAGATCTGGGAGAGAGGTGGGGGAGAGAGGTGATGAGTGTGACAAGGGATCATGTCGCTCACACATCCCCTGCTGGCTACCTCACTACGGGGCTTCTGTGTGTGACGCCCCTGCTTGAGGGCCCAAAGCACAGTTGTTCATCATGTTTGCTGACCACAAGCTCCTTGGTCACTCATCCACTAACTGGACTTTGTCATGCAGTGCTAACTTCCTCTTTGAAAATTTCTGCCACTTGGCCGGGGTCAGGGCTTACTCTGAAAAGAAATGGACTTCCCCAAACACTTTATTCTTGAAGATGAGAAGCTGCCTATTAAAAGCATAAAGCCAAAATCCCCACGAGAACCTCTTTCTCATTGTGCTTGGAAGGAGAGGGACTGGAGTCAGGTTCATTTCCCAGCTGCCTATGGGACTCTGAGGGCAAGTTGGCTGGGACGTCATGGCGGCCGACGATCAGGTAAACTAAACTCAAAGCTGTTGTACCAGCTTGAAGGAGGAAAGCGATTATTGTTGTCTACCCCTCCATCCTTTTCAAAACTTCATCATTTACAAAGCCTTCAGTGTCTCATAAAAATGGATGAAACCAAGAGTCTAATAGGCAAGGTCCCCTTCTTATTAACTCAAGTGCTTCTCTCCGGGGAGACATGTACACCTGTCAGTGGGCCCTTGTTATCTGGGTCTTCAGCCTCTTCTCAGTTCTAAGGTCACATACGTATTTATCTGAGAAACAACTGAACCAAATTAATATTAATAGTCAGAGAAGTAACACATTTCCCATCGAATCCCAGCAACTAAGGTGTGGGTGGAAAAGAACCTTGTTCTTCTTCCGATTGTTTTCTGTTGGCCATGAAGCCTACTTTTGCCAGCCTGGCTGCGTGGAGTCTGTCTTGAAGTACTAGAGTGGCCTAAGGCTCAGGGCCTAACAGCAACAGGAAGAGATAATGATAGCTTTACACCTGTAATAGAGCCATCTAATATTACATTATTATAATAGCTTTCAATGATACTGTAATACTAATTAGTACTTCCTTTGCGCCAGGCACTATTCTGAGCACTCTAGATATATTGGTTCATTTACTCCTCCTCAGAGTCCTGTAAGTGAGGTAGTATTACTACCTTTATTTTGCAGATAAGGACCAGGAGACACAGAGAAGCTTAGGGACTTGTCCAAAGTCACACAGCCAGTTCGTGACAAAGCTGGGATTCAAACCCAGGTAGTCAGACTCCACACTCTGCACTCATAACCACCGACCTAAACAGCATTGCACAGGATGAGATTAAATCACAAGAGTCTAGAGCACATGATAGGAAGCACTCTGTTCTTTGAGCTCACCGATTCTGTTATACACAGGAGCAGAGGTGGCTTTGGATTATCTTTTTCTGGATTGGAACAATCTCTCTACAATTGTTCAGTTCTAGTCTTCACAGTGCTGGAGTCTTGATTCTCTGGGTGTCTCTCAACAATATGATCTTAAGAAATAGGAATTTTCTATAAGGGTAGCAGGGAAATCACAATTGCTGGATGTTCTCTCTTGGCTTTGACTTTGCTTTCAAAAACACAGATTTTTTTTTCCCCCAAAGACAAATTCAAAAAAGGGAGGATAGTCTTTCGAAGGGAAAAAAACCACTCATTGCTTCATGCACTGGGCCCAAGAAATCCCTTACCACGCTCTCACACTCCTTGGCTGCCCATTCGCTCTGACGTTTAAACTCGTTTGTTCTGACAGAGCGAGCGCTTCGCCCCCAAGCCCCCTTCCACAAACCCCAAAGCAGTCTTCTGGAACTAGCCTCCTTTTGTGAAGACTGGACCCCATCCCTGCAGGATCCCGCGGGCAGGGCCTTCCCTGCGCTCCCGGTAGGAAAGCACGGGGAAGCGTGAGGTGAGGGGTGGGGCAGGCACAGCCACTTTGTTTCTCCAGGCTGTTCTTCACGCCACTTACTTAAAGCCTGTGTAAAAGGAGCAGTCTTTGCACTTGAAGAGCTTCTTCCCGCCATGCTTGTCCCTGTAATGGCGTCTGATGCTCTGGATGTAGCCAGAGGAGAATTCACAGAATTCGCAGTGCAGAACAGCCTCGGTTTTCTGCTCGGCACCCCCAGCGGCCCCGGAGAGGGGCACGGGGCTGACTCGGCTGTTGTTCCTCGCCAGCGCGGCCGACTGATAGTGGTTCAACTGCTGCTGAACATCTGGAGGTTCTGAGTAGGAGGAGTCTGCGGACAGACGGGGACAAGGACACCGGACACAGAGAACCACAGTGGAGCTTTGACCCCTGAAAACCCCCCGACATTAGTCTGGAGTAGTTGTTTTTCTTTTCCCTACAGATGATGACTACGATCCACCTTTCATCTTCATTTACATCCTACCACACAGATCTGGGGAAGGGCAGGTGGGAAGGAAGTGTCGCTTCTTTTCATCTGACGTTGAGGGCTCGTGGCATTTAAAACTAAAACGCTGAGGTGAAAGGTTTCAAAGTGAAGGAAGAAAGAAAGTCAACTGTTGTCTAGAGGAAACGGCTGCCACAGAGTACCCACCCGTCCCTGTAGGTGAGATAAATGAACGCACAGAAAGCACACAGGCACCGATGTGAGAAAGGAAAGCAGATGATGTCATATCTCCTCCTCTGCAGCCCAGAATTATTCAAGCCAATCCCCCGCCCCCCAGAAAGAAGGTCTTTAACAGAAATGCTCGAACACATGGCACTCACAAATACAAAAATGTTTTATGTCTTCACAGTCAAGTGATTTAAAATTTAAAATATAAAGATCTAATAGTGTTCTCCTGGAATGGATGTTTAAAGCTTAGTCAGCATTAAGATGGAGATTTATTCATAAATCCCATTAAAATGAAATTCCAAATAAGTTTCCCTAAAAGGTATTTTAAAGTTTGCAATTCGGAGGAAAATGTCGGAAATGACAGCCATAAATCTTAACCCTGAGAAGCTTCAGTGGAGAAATGTGGTGGAGAAATGTGATCTAGATGGGAGGGGGGAAAATCTCGGTTTTTTAAAAAATCAGAGAGAGGGAGAAAGAAAGATCTTGACCCTTTTCCAAACATGCTGCTTTGAATGTTGAGGCTACGCTTTCGGCAACATTGTCCTGCACAACCCAGAGCTGCCTAGGAATGACGCAAATGAAGTCTTTGAATACCCCACAGATGAATTTCAGTGTAACTTTCCTTGAAAACAAAGGGCTCTTTTTTTTTTAAGCCTTTCAAAAAGCAAGGTGGGAAAGGGGATAGAAACTGTACCAGCCTCCTGATTTGATGGACACTTAATTTTCCAAAGCACGATTCCCCGAGGCAGGACACGGAGGAATTCTGTAAAACCCGTATTTGATGAAACCAGGACCATCCATCCCGTTGGCCTCTTTGAGAAGAAAAACAAAAACAGAGCAGCCTCCCTTATTGTGAGGCCACCTCCTGTCTTCAAAATACTAAAATACCTTCCCTTCTTGTTCTCCTCCTCCCCCTCTTCAATTTGTATTCCTCAAGATGGAGAAAAAACCCCTTTGGAAATTGTAAACAAACCTGCCACACACACAAAAATAAAACAAAAGGAAACTTGAACAATACCTCCAAGCCTCCATGAGTTCATTACCAGGTGTAAACTGGAGACAAAGGAAGAAAGGAATGACACAACCGAATTCATTTTACTCAAGTCTTTTATCTCTGGTTTCTTTATTCCTCAACCCTAGCTGATGAACCCACTCAGGATCACAATAATGCAATTGTCAACTTCTCATTCTTCCTTTCAATAGCAGGTTTGTTTACCATTGCATGGATTGTTCAAGATGTTTTCTATTTAAGCTCTCAAGACTAGTTTCTGCTTAAAACACACACACGAGGAAGCACAAAACACACTCCGCCTCTCTTGTTAACATGGGCCTGAGCGGCGGGTTGGGCACTGCCCCGTCAGCATCCCTGACAAGCCCCTGTCCTCTTGTTCGCTCTTCACTCTACAGGATCGAAATCCTGGGACCAACAAGGCCAAGGCGGGGTCCCGCTGCCTGTGAGCTCTCGGCCGCCCACAAATCTACCCAGAGACCAAAATGAACATCCCAAGGAACAGTCCATTTCTCAGAAAGCAGCTCCCTCCAAGACCCAGCACCCAACTCAGCGAGTCCTGCAGGCTAGCATGGAGGCTGGCTGTCACCTCAGACACAGGCCCCCGACAGCTTCAACCCCTTTACAGCAGAACCTGCAAAGAAGTCCGTTGTTCCGACTCAGATCATAAGCCAGGTGAATTCATCTTCCCCTAACTTCCACCCACCCCAACTTCACACCTGCACTAATCTCTTAGGGAGACTCCCTCCAAGGGAAGGGAGTCTCCTTTGATTTAACACATTTTTCTTATCTCTAGGGTCTATTGCATTTCATTCCATCCATCCCAAAAAACGAATTCTAAATTTTAACTTCGGTATATATATGTTACATGAAACTTGAAGAAACAGAAATGCAAGAAGTGGTGAGGGAAAGCCTTCCAAGAAAGGGAGGCTCAGCGCCCTTCCCTCGTAAATGGCAATGCAAAAGGGACAGCTGTATGTACCGTGTTATGAATTCCCCCCCTTTTTTTTTTCCTGGTTAAAATCCGACGGACAGGTTTATTTACGAAAATAGGCAAATCCCACCGCTTACGGTACATTGGTAATAATGCCCAGCTCACAACTGTTTGGGTCTTCTTAGAGCTTTACTTTCTTCTCTGGTGCCAAGACACACTATGTCTCTCATTCTCTCTCACTTGGGAGTTTGTGAATAATGTACAATTTTAGCACTTTGGGCACTAAAGTGACAAAGACGTGAGCGTGTATGATTCCACCGATCTTAAAAAAGCCCACTTGCTAAGCTACAGAACATTCTAGCTTGTTCACGAGGCACAGCCTGAGGAACAGGAAGAGGGTCGTTTTTGTGCCCAGGTTAGAAAGGCAAACAGATTGTTAGTGGTGAAGGACACGTCACGGAGGTTAAAAATCATCATTAAGGCTATTTTCTTCATTCCGAGCTTACAGAAAGTGAAAAAAACTCTGTGCTTTCAACAGCCGGGCTTGCGGTCACTGAGAAATACAGCAGCGGAAGCACAGGGGTGTGAATTCAGGGGAGAAACTGAACCCGAGGTGCTCACCCAGGTCACATCTTTATCACCTGGATGGCCAGTAATCCTTAAAGAGGAACCATGAGCAGAGACCAGGCTGGTCCCTACGTTCCTAACCCAACCCTGAGACATGCCTGCTGTCTAGAGGTTTAATTCTCTGACCTGTGACTATATTCACGTGCAAAGTTTTAGAAATTACGTTATCAGGTACAGTTATAGTTGTAAGATAAATCTAAGTCACGGGTAGCTATCCACTTTGTCAACGGTCTATAAAAATAATTGTATTTTGTAAAATCAGGATCAAAATAGAATTTTAGCATGGACGGTCACGGTGCTTATAGAAATGGGTTTGGAATTTATTGAACTGCCAGCAATTAATTCTCACAACTATGGCGTGCCGTGTAGGTTCTCGTCACAATCTTACCCATGAGGTAGTTGAGGCAGTTGGTCATACGGCTAGTAAGAGGCAGAGGTTGGGTTTGAACAAAGATTCGTCTGACTCTAAAATCTGAATTTTGCCCATCAGGTATCTATTGTCCATCAACAATAAATATTTAGCAGAGAGGAGAGAAAAAAGGTGACAGAAAAATTGAAATACCATTAGAATAGATAGAAATGGAAACAGGACAGATAGGGAGTAACAGTGAACGGGATGTGAAAGAAAACACTAAAATAAGCCTTTCAGAACACGTGGGGGAAAAATACAGCAAGGCTCGTGGGAAAGAAAAAGAATATCCAAAATTGTAAGATGCTTTATAAAAACGAAAACACGGGATCACATAGGAGACAAGTCCACAAGCAGGCTGTGCAGGAGAACACAGCAGATGCCCAGCATCGGAAACCCGCCGGCCCGTGCTTTCATAGACGCCTGATAAACTGCCCTCAAGTAATACTGCTCTGAAATTCCTCGGGTGGAATCTGGCTGGGAAAAGAAAGGTACACGGACGGGAGGCGGATGCTTTCCGGTGGCTCTTGGACAGGCGTTCAAACCAGGGAAAGGGCTGGGTTCCGGATGAAACCTCCCAGGCCTCTCACTTAGCCATGTTCCCAGAGAAGTTCTTCTTGCTATAGTCCATCTCCCAGAATGCCAGCCAAACCCAGGTGACTATCAGTTCTAGGGGTTTTTTTCCTTCTTCTTTCTCTAAAAATTAGCCAGCACAGAAACAATCACAAGAAACTGGATTTTATAAAGGCGAATGACAAACAAGTGAACTCTGGGAACACAATAAGCATGACAGAATGAAGTGTTCTTGAATATTCTGAGGCTACAAACATGTAGTTAACACCCTCTTAGTGCCAGGCTATGTGCGGGCTCTAGGGAGTGAAAGTCCAAGAAGACACCAGGGGTACGTTCTCAGAGCTGGGGTCTAGCAGGGGGGTGAGCAGAGCTGTTGTGACACCACAGGCCTTCTCCACGTCTGGCAAACTTACTCCACTGATTGAAGGAATACAAGAGGCAAGGAGAACAAATGAACAGTAGCAGGAGAATTTAACTATTGGAGGATTAAGGGAGACACAGGAAGAGTAAGAATCAATTGGGCAGTAAATTGTGGGCGCTGCAGAGGACAGCCCCCTTATGCACTGAGTGATCCAAAAAGGGAGCTGTACAGGAAGATCAATTCTCAATTTTCTACAGCTCCACAGAGAGGATCTGAGTGAAGGTACAAACGTAGCAGAAGGATTTTGGCGCCAGCAACCACACTTAATTCTATTTGAGCTAGATGTTCGTGCAGACTTGGGGAGGCAGGCTCTTTGGTCGGCGCGAACCAAGTACCAGGAGAAAATAAAAGACAAAGGATCTTAGGGAAGCAAATCAGGGGTGCCCAGGGGGGCAAATGCTTCAGTTATATCCATTTGTTCAGCAAATATTTACTGAGCATCTAAGTCAACAGGAGAGTCAGTTCTGGGGCACAGGATTTGGTTCCTGTCCTCAAGCAGCTGTCTCAGATGGACACGTAAATAACTGATGGTGATAAATGCAAAGAAATAAACGTCCTGATAGAGGCATCCCTAAAGAGCTAGTGGAGAAGAAGCAAAATCAGTACGTGGTGACTGAGGAAATGTTGGAAGAAGAGAGACGGAGGAGAACGTCAAGAGAAACTTGAGTGCCCACTAATAACTAGC